GCTCTGCATAATGGCTGATAATCATGAACGTAACGAAGTGGCACGAAGTAGACAATACCGATATCCGTGTTTATACGTCTGCTTGGCGACCTTTGTGTATTTTTTCACCTTTTTTCAGACACTGATCTTATTAGAATTTAATTCCATTTACAAAACCATTTCCTCCTTTTCCCTAGGCTTCGTCTTGTGATTAGCAAACACACTACAAAACATCAAGATGCAATCGTTAACTCCAAAACCGGATACAGACAGCGCGTTACATAAAAAGAAAAGGACTACCGGGCTCTGCAAGAGTGATGTCACAGAAAGGTCGATCTATGTTAAATGATCTCCAAAATAAGAATATGCGACTTGCACGTTGGATAATTACAATAAATATAACAGTATGAAAGGGAACTCGAAGCAAACTATGCTTGCTGCTAAATATAGAATTACTTATATGGAATGAAAATTAAAACTATTGATCACCCTATTCGCCTGTTATCCAGTGATTTCATTTAAGTAATATTTTTGTGTATATGTTGCTAATGTAACTTTCCTTGGAGCGTTTTTTATTGGTCGCGCCAATCAGAAAGCCATTGAGACCATGATATAGATGATACCATTACGTCATCAAGGGAAACTGTCGAATTAAAATGGACGCATGCGTTTGATTTTGAGTCCAAGTTCTGTTAAAATATACCTTTTCTGAGTGATGTGACAAATAGTATCTTTTAGTTTATTTTCCTTTCTTAAATGATATTTCATGAAACTCGAAGTTGTAACCTCTAAGGCTCCCATCTATTTCATACATTTATAATGATATCGTCATTTTACCTTTGGTTTCGCTGTTTTGACGTTTATCGACCCATTGTGTTAAGAACAAATTGTGTCTTTATCATTTTGGACGACCTTGTAGAGCGTGAAAAAAATCGTTTAATATTTCTGTGCCTTTTTGCAAATAGACTTTAAGGATACGATGGTTAAATACTTTTTCAACACTATTTAGAATCGGTAACTACATTTTGAAAGCGTTTCATGTAGATCTTGTTACCACTAAACCCATTTACCAGGTGAACTGGATATATTGCCTTGGACAGGCGGAAGAAAGTTAAGGTTTAGTGACGGGAAAAGCAGTTTATTTTTTTAACTACTTTAATATTATATTAACTTTCTTGCACTAAGAAACACCTTAGAGGCTTGAACTTGCGTATAAATCGCAAACTTTGATTCTGTTTGTTCCATTTATTAAGAAATGAACGTCGACATTTTGTATAAATGGTTTTTTTAACTGCAGTAACACAATCAAGCTCCTAATTGTTAGTGAATATTGTCAGTATTGTATCTTTTGCACTGTCTCCTCAAAGGAATCGGGCTAAATACGGTACACTTCACACTCTTTAAAATATTTCCGGAAAAAACTTAGATTCAAACAGTTTATTTCTTTTTCGAAATAGCTTTCTTGACTCTTACTCTTGGTAATTTCAGCATAAAAACGATATTTTGCTGTGTCTCCTTCTGTGTTTGTTGACCTATGCCACCAAGTGATACATCCAATGTAACGATAACCCGGATGACACAAGGTTCCTTTGCCACCTAAAGCAGTATTTACTGTATCTAACAGTTGCACTTAAAAATAACACATACTGAAAGATGGCAAGCTTCTGGAATGTTGCACGTTTTAATGCCAGTCATTCTATTATTTCTATGTTAGTGCATCATCTGAACCAAACCGGGCATGTTGACAAGTTGTCCCAGGTCTGGTAGACCTCGAAAGAATACAAATAGACAAGACAGACTTCTTTGTAGACAGACAAGGCGAGCCCCTTTCACTACTACCAACACATTCAAGGGACAGTGGAACGTTTACTTTAACCGGTGTACACTCAGCCGTTTCCAAGGACAATTGGTGACTTCGTTCTGGCCGACCAGTAAAAATTGCTCTATTGACTGTTAGGCATAAACAGACAAGATTGCAATGGGCACGGGATCACCGGACAAGAAATATTATATCTTGGCGAAGAGTCTACTGGTTTGACGAATCCAATTTTAATTAATCCGACAGACATGTCCGTGTTCGGGGACAAAAAATGCGGCACATATGCTTGGCAAAACAGCATTATGTGGTGGCATATTTGGTGTGCGGATGTTTTTCTTTGAACTTAAAGCATCACTTATATGCCCTCGAGATAAATTCAAAATGAGCAGTAGTACCGTGATCACATCTGTGGGCCTTTATTTGTTCCGTACTTCGATGTATATCCATTGGCGGATCGACCTTTCCTAATGGATTACAATGCCGTATCACACCGTCCTAAGTCTTCAACAACAAGTGATAGAAGGTTCCGCTGGCCTTCAGTGTGACATGAACCCAATTGATCAGGTGTGAAACCGTCTCGGACAAAAAGGCAGTGCATGGGATCCAAAATACCAAACAATTGGAGAATTACGGGCTGCATTGATTCAGGATTGGCAGATATTTCCTCAGAACAATCTTCGGCGTCCGGTCAGTGGTATGATACAACGGGCACGAGAATTGAATTGTACCAGAAGCGTGATGACTATACCAAATATTGACATTTTCATAAAAAAAAAAAAAAAAAAACCCTCATTGATTAGTTTATCTGTTTTGTCATTGATTTTTTTCCGTGAATACAGCGAATATAATCACGCTCGATCTAAGATATTTGTGGTCCGTAATTATGGCCAAGTGTGTGTATGAAAGGAATATGCTGTGTAATTTTTTATTTCTATTTTTCTTTTTTTCATTGTTCTATTGAGGTACTACTATCCTATAATATTCACACTACATATGTGTCAAGTTCTCATAGCCAAGAATACTTCGTAGACTGACGTATCACATGGCACGCTGCTTGTATTACAATAGATGTGTGAAATTACATTTCAAGAAATAGTAGCCATAGGTTCGTTGTTCGATCTAAGATCACGGATCGCTTCTTGTGACTTTGTTCCAATAGCTTTTGCCGACCTATGAGAGTAATCCGACGTTAAATAAGAAGTTCAAAACTACTCTGACGCTGTTCATATGGCAATGAACATTAGAACTTGCTTCTTAATCAGCATTTTACCTTTGTCCTCTCTAAGATATGACGTCTGTGGGGCTGACCGATGTCCAGTGTCAATTACATCGATAGCAAGATAAATGCGTCCATGGTCAGTAGGAAGTGGTCGGTCTATCTTCGATATCATATCCCAAAAGAGATAATATGGCGCCAGCTCATTTTTCTTCACTTCAAATGTGATAGTAAGAATCAGTAAGGTTTTGTTAAATTTCGTCGGGGCTCGTTAAGACAATCAAATTATCGCAACCGTCCTACCACATGAAAAATAAATGTGTTCTATTACTATTATTGGGTTACTTAGAGACTGTTGGCGGTAGTAAAACGACAAGTAAATATATATATATCCGTTTTTATTTACGTTTCTATTTCTTGTTTGTTAATTTTTTCAACAAAACACATAAATACACGCATTCCGTTTACCAAAACACATAAGTACACGCATTCCGTTTACCAAAACACATAAGTACACGCATTCCGTTTAACAAAACGCATAAGTACACGCATTCCGTTTAACAAAACACATAAGTACACGCATTCCGTGAATATGAGTGGATATGTTATAAAACCGATTAAATCAAAATCGTTCTGTGATCAAAATTGGCCTCATATGCAACGGAAATTATAGTTGAATCAATTATTATTACCCTATGTCATGTGTTACAGTTAAAATTCCAATGCCTTTCATCATTTCTAAATTCTCTAGAAAAAGATACTCAAGTTGGTACCACTTTCAATGCAGTTAGTGTGATAGATAAAGATCTGGCCAATTACTATATTTGGTTTGTTCTCTGAGAACTATCTAGTGACGTGGAAGACCAAAACTGTAGGAACTCCAGAAAAGGAAAATAAAAAATACGGAGATATACTAGCAAGGTATAGGCGGAGATGTACCGGCCCGACGAAGAATCGAAGATGCACCGACACGATGTAGAAGTAGAGATGTACCGACACAATGTAGAAATGGAGATGTACCGACACGATGTAGAAATGGAGATGTACCGACACGATGTAGAAATGGAGATGTACCGACACGATGTAAAAATGGAGATGTACCGACACGATGTAGAAATGGAGATGTACTGACACGATGTAGAAGTGGAGATGTACCGACACGATGTAGAAATGGAGATGTACCGACACGATGTAGAAATGGAGATGTACCGACACGATGTAGAAATGGAGATGTACCGACACGATGTAGAAATGGAGATGTACCGACACGATGTAGAAATGGAGATGTACCGACACGATGTAGAAATGGAGATGTACCGACATGATGTAGAAATGGAAATGAACCGACACGATGTAGAAATGGAGATGTACCGACACGATGTAGAAATGGAAATGAACCGACACGATGTAGAAATGGAGATGTACCGACACGATGTAGAAATGGAGATGTACCGACATGATGCAGAAATGGAGATGTACTGATATTATATAGAAGTAGAGATGTACCGACACGATGTAGAAATGGAGATGTACCGACATGATGTAGAAATGGAGATGTACCGACATGATGTAGAAATGGAGATGTACCGACACGATGTAGAAATGGAGATGAACCGACACGATGTAGAAATGGAGATGAACCGACACGATGTAGAAATGGAGATGCAACGACCCGACCAAAAAGAGGAGAGGTACCGACATGATATCGAAGTAGAGATGTACCGACATTATATAGAAGTAGAAATGTTCTGACATGATATAGAAATGGAGATGTACTGACATGATATAGAACTGGAGATGTCCCCACATGATATAGGAATGGAGATGTACCGACATGATATCTAAGTAGAGATGTACCGATATTATATAGAAATGGAGATGTACCGACATGATATCGAAGTAGAGATGTACTGATATTATATAGAAGTAGAGATGTACTGATATTATATAGAAGTAGAGATGTACCGATTTTATATAGAAGTAGAGATGTACCGACACGATGTAGAAATGGAAATGTACCGACACGATGTAGAAATGGAGATGTACCGACACGATGTAGAAATGGAGATGTACCGACACGATGTAGAAATGGAGATGTACCGACACGATGTAGAAATGGAGATGTACCGACACGATGTAGAAATGGAGATGTACCGACATGATGTAGAAATGGAGATGTACCGACACGATGTAGAAATGGAGATGAACCGACACGATGTAGAAATGGAGATGCAACGACCCGACCAAAAAGAAGAGAGGTACCGACATGATATCGAAGTAGAGATGTACCGACATTATATAGAAGTAGAAATGTTCTGACATGATATAGAAATGGAGACGTACTGAAGATGTACCGACATGATATCTAAGTAGAGATGTACCGACATTATATAGAAATGGAGATGTACCGACATGATATCGAAGTAGAGATGTACCGATATTATATAGAAGTAGAGATGTACTGACATGATATAGAACTGGAGATGTCTCTACATGACATAGAAATGTAGATGTACCGACATGATATAGAAATGGAGATGTACCGACATGATATCGAAGTAGAGAGGTACCGACATTATATAGAAATGGAGATGTACTGACATGATATAGAAATGGAGATGTACCAACATGATATAGAAATGGAGTTATAAAGAAATGATATAGAAATGGAAATGTACCAACATGATATAGAAGTAGAGTTGCACTGCCATGATATAGATTTACTAACTTGATATAGAGTTGGATGTACCGACAAGATATCGAAATGGACATGTACTGACATGATATAGAAATGGAGATGTATCAACATGATATAGAAATTGAGATTTACCGACATGATATAGAAATGGAGATGTCCCCACATGATATAGAAATGGAGATGTACCGACATGATACAGAGGTGGAGATGTACTGAGATGATGTAGAAGTACAGATGAACTGACATGATATACAAATGGAGATGTAGCGACATAATATAGAAGTAGAGATGTACTGACACGATATAGGAGTGGGGATGTACCGACATGAGAGTGGAGATGTACTGACACGATACAGGAGTGGAGATGTACCGACATGATATAGGAGTGGAGATGTACTGACACGATATAGGAGTGGAGATGTACTGACACGATATAGGAGTGGAGATGTACTGACATGATATAGGAGTGGAGATGTATCAAAGCGATAGACAGTTGGCTTTGCAAATATCGGACATTGCATCCAACGTAACCATCGCCATCGTCGTCGTCATCATAAAGGCTTAATTTCACTTTACAGTCATGTAGGTATAACTTGTATGTGAAGTCCCCTTCGTAACAATAAAATACGTATCAGTGTAAAATATCCCTGAAATTCGATTATATACATCAATGTTTAATTTCTCGTTTATAAAAATATTGATAACTTGCTACAGATTCGGACAACACTCGTGACAGTGTTGATTATACTCAACTTACTTTTTATTTTCTTGCCTGATTCCATTACATACATTATTTTGCATGTTGCGGTTGGTTTGATTTTTACCAATGTAACAGAATCTACTTCCTAACAAAAAAAAAAAAAAAAAAAAAAGGAAAATGTAGTTATCGTCACAATCCCGCACCATGGCTCACACTTTGAGGACCTGACCTTATAAATATACTGAAAGGATAAAGAAACGCAGGGTAATATTTATTTCGATATTTTGATAACGCGTTCTCCAAATAAAGTGGAACTTTGTAGATTGAGTAATTAGGTCATATTACACCTTGTCATGTATCGAAAATTTAGTCACGGTACAGTGGGCAGCTCTGGTAAATGGAGGAAGGAAAAAACAAAAATCTCGTGCACCGTGTTGTTCTGAGCTCATGCAGCGTTGGTCAAGTCACTCTTCGTTAGTCTTTATATAGACCAACTGCTTCCCTAAAATTAATTGAGAATTTGATTCGTTTTAAGAATGGCACGACTCACAGAAGTTCATATAGCCCTGATTTGTCCCCGATCGAGCATCTTTGGGACCAGTTGGATAGACAGGTTCGAAAGCGCCAGTCACCCCTTGCTACTCGAGAGCAGTTGACCAGAACTCTGATTGAAGAGTGGGAGAACATCCCCATAAGACGTATTAACGCTCTCATGAACTCTATGACCAGAAAAATAAGGGCCGTGACCACAGCAAACGGCGGACACACAAGATATTGATGACTCCGTTCAATTTCAATATCAAAATCCTATGGGTCCATTCAATTTAATCGTTAGTACCTCTAAACCAATTGTCAGATGCAAATTACAGACTTTGGAAATTTTCAAGCTTTAATTTATCTGTAAGTATACAAAATTTCGTTTTAAATGAAGCCCGATATCATACTTAATTTCTGGTTTAAAGTTTACCCTGCGTTTCTTTATCCTTTTAGTATATATTGTTTCGGCTTCCGCCCGAATTATCGGTTGTTGTTAATTTTTTACCAGTCAAAGCGAACCACTAGCAAATATTTGATTGTGTTTAGTTTCCTCTACCAGAAGTACGATACAAGTCCAAATTTCATTTGAGTATTGTATAGAAACCCTTCGTTAATAAGTAAGGGTCTATTTCCGCAAAACAATTTATTATTGACATACCCGATATTTTTAAAAGAAAGATAGCAAGACAAGCTACTAAATAAGTCTGCTAGCAATTAAGTTGTTATTTCAATTTCAACTCAATGGCGACAACAGCATTGTAATGATTCTCGGTAGGGTTATATTTATACAAGTATCTTTCCAATGAAAAAGGTGATTTTCTTTTATGTTGACTAATTAAAACTATCTTTCCCCTGAAGTCCGCGGAAGATCACTCCCGTTTACAAAATACTTTTTTGGCTGACAGTAGTTTCCACTTTGTTTCCGGTAATTGGTAAGGCCTTCTAGATGGTCTCTGATAATGAAATTACACAGGGTTACATTTCTACAATGCGATGCAATTACGTTTTATTTTCACTGCGTTGGCGAACTGGATACGACACACGATTTAATGCACCTAACCTGAAAAAACAATAAGAAAGAATGTCCTTGAACATGTGCCATTGTTTTACGATACTCTATGCTGCTTTCCTGACCGTTCCTTAACGTGCAAGACAATGTTCCTTACATCCAACAAAAGGTACTATTTGCTTTTCATAAAATTATCTTCTATAGTTCAAGCTTCATGCGTGGATATTACTCAATGCAAACTACTTAAACGGAAATAGAACAGTTTGGATTTTACGATTGGTTCAACAAGAAATATATGTCCGTCTTGAGGTCGCCAAAATAACTATCTTGCAACACATGTGAATCATACTACCATGGTCCTACACGTCCTGTCTGTAACTAGAACATGTCTGAATAATCCTAACATGGTCCTACATAACTTGTCTGTAACTCAAACACGACTGAATAATCCTAACATGGCACTACACCTCCTGTCTGTAACTCCAACACGTCTGAATAATACTAACATGGTCCTACACCTCCTGTCTGTAACTAGAGAATGTCTGAATAAACCAACATGGTACTACGCCTCCTGTCTGTAACTAGAGAATGTCTGAATAATACTAACATGGTCCTCTGAATAATACTAACATGGTCAAAAACCTCCTGTCTGTAACTAGAGCATGTCTGAATAATCCTAACATGGTCCTACACCTCCTTTCTGTAACTCCAACACGACTGAATAATCCTAACATGGCACTACACCTCCTGTCTGTAACTCCAACACGTCAGAATAATTCTAACATGGACCTACACCTCCTGTCTATAACTCCAACACGACTGAATAATCCTAACATGGTCCAACACCTCCTGTCCGTAACTCCAACACGTCTGATTAATCCTAACATTGTCCTAGACTTCCTGTCTGTAACTCCAACACTACTGGATCATCTTAACATGGTCCTACACCTCCTATCTGTAACTCCAACACGACTGAATATTACTAACATGGTCCTACATCACCTGTTTGTAACTGCAACACCTCTTGTTTGTAACTCCAACACGTCTGAATAATACTAACATGGTCCTACACCTCCTGTCTGTAACTATAGCATGTCTGAATAATACTAACATGGTCCTACACCTCCTGTCTGTAACTCCGACACGATTGAATAATTCTGACAAGATCCTACACCTCATGTCTGTAACTCCAACACGTTTTAATTATCCTAACATGGTCCTACACCTCTTGTCTGTAACTCCAACACAACTTAATTATCCTAACATGGTCCTACACCTCCTCTCTGTAACTCCAATAAGTCTGAATAATACTAACATGGTCCTACACCTCCTTTCTGTAACTCCAACACGACTGAATAATCCTAACATGGACCTACACCTCCTGTCTGTAACTTCAACACGACTGAATAATCCTAACATGGTCCTACACCTCTTGTGTGTAACTCCAACACGTCTGAATAATACTAATATGGTCCTACACCTCCTGTCTGTAACTCCAACACGTTTTGATAATACTAACATGGTCCTACACCTCCTGTCTATAACTACAACACGACTGAATAATCCTAACATGGTCCTACACCTCTTGTCTGTAACTCCAACACGTCTGAATAATACTAATATAGTCCTACACCTCCTGTCTGTAACTCAAACACGTCTGAATAATACCAACATGGTCCTACACGTCCTTTCTGTAGCTCCAACACGACTGAATAATCCTAACATGGTCCTACACCTCCTGTCAGTAACTCCAACACGACTGAATAATCCTAACATGGTCCTACACCTCCTGTCTGTAACTCCAACACGACTGAATAATACTAACATGGTCCTACACCTCCTGTCTGTAACTCCAACACGTTTTAATAATACTAACATGGTCCTACACCTCCTGTCTGTAACTCCAACACGTCTGAATAATACTAACATGGTCCTACACCTCCTGTCTGAAACTACAACACGACTGATTAATACTAAAATGGTCCTACACCTCCTGTCTGTAACTCCAACACGACTGAATTATCTTAACATGGTCCTACACCTATTGTCTGTAACTCCAACACGACTGAATAATCCTTACATGGTCCTACACCTCCTGTCTGTAACTCCAATAAGTCTGACTAATACTAACATGGTCCTACACCTCCTTTCAGTAACTCCAACACGTCTGAATAATACTAACATGGACCTAGATCTCCTGTCTGTAACTCCAACACGACTGAATAATCCTAACATGGTCCTACACCTCCTGTCTGTAACTCCAACACGACTGAATAATCCTAACATGGTCCTACACCTCCTGTCTGTAACTCCAACACGTCTGAATAATACTAACATGGTCCTACACATCCTGTCTGTAACTCAAACACGTCTGA